AGTGGCTTCTATGGTGATCGACAAACATTTTTGTGGAGGATGATAGGATGGCTGAGGCTATTTTAGGCAGAGGCTGGGATTTTCTTTGGAAGGGCACACTTGCCGTGTCATATTTAAAATTAACATATTAATACACCAATTCCATCAACATACCAAACACACTTTAAAACCCACTTCGTCTTCCACTTCCACCTCCACTTCCACTTCTAGTTCCACTTCCACTTTCATCAAAAACTCTTCCATTACACCAAACAGGGCATTAGTCCTAACCCTTTAATCCCACATGCCAGGACCTATCATGATTTGGTATTGACTCTTAAATTTTCTCTACACTTATCATGAGCCACTTAATATATTAAAACTAATTAATATATTATAATATAGGCTAAAATATGCATTTATTACTTGTTTGGAGTATATTAAAGGTTTTCATATCTCTCAATAAATATGATATATTACTTTATTTTATATATGTATCATTGGAGAAATTTATCTTATAACTCAATCCCTAAACTTGTAATAAATAACTCTTTATTTCATTTCAAAATATCTTTTTTTTTAACCTTGATTTCAAAATATTTCATCCCATGCAAATTAAAATCTAAGATAACTGCTTATTCTATTTTTATAATTTGTCCCTTTGAGTGCATTAATTATGAGCCTAACAGTGATATTTTGAATATAGATTTGAATATGGAGAGGAATTAAGGGGAAGAAGGGGGGAGAATGAGACAATAGGAGAAAGAGACTGAAATAATTTCCTTGTTTCTGAGAACAGTTAGAATTAGAGGTGGGAATCAAGGCCAGCTCTTCAGGGTTGGCGGGCTTAAAATGGTCGGCCCTCTAAGGCTGAAATTTTAAAAATACCTCAATTTGCTAGGCCCGACCCGTAGGCTTTTGGCCCGTTTAAGAAAAATATTATTTTTATATTTCTCATATTTTTTATCAAAAAAATAAAAATAAACCAATGAAATTGTTAATAAAAGACATAAATATGAATAAAATTAAGTCACAAATACAAAATATCATCATATATAAATATCCATCAACATTCAAGAACATCTAAAACATTCATTAATAAGATAACAACATCCAAAAGTTTTATCTATAGTATAATTATGCAATAAATAAACATTATCATTAATCTTTTGAAACTTCATCATCATTATAATTAATTACTCTTCTTCATAAGTATGCTTTTCTTCCGTAACAAAAATATCAAGTTTTTTTATACGAATTTTACTTTTAAATTTTGCAATCTAACTATTATTTTACTTTAATGTGAGAAACATTATTGTTGAAACTCATGAATTTCTAATTCAAATTATCAAATATATATAGTATAAAAATATCAACACATATAGTATAAATCAAATCATTATTGAAGTCCAAATTAACCCATTTTTTAAAAATTTAATTGAATAAATTATTATCTAAAACTAAATAAATCAAATCATTCTATAAATTTAATTCTAAAATGATAATAATAACTAAATATTTAAAATATTATTAACAATGTAAAAAATTAATAATATTAGAATTACATAAAAAAATTTAAAAAAATATATAAAAGGGTCTAAACTGGCCGGCCCTTTTAAGCCCTCGGCCCTCCAAGGCCTATTTTCTATTTGAAGGAAAAATTTCAAGCCCGATCCTTGTAATTCAGGGCCTAAACGGGCCGACCTGACGGGCTTAGCCCGTTTTCCCGACTCTAGTTAGAATGAAGGACCTAGAGGCTGGCCAAAGAAATAAAAGAATGAAGAATTTAGAGGGAATTATAATATCAAGTGGACAAGGACAAAACACCTCAATTCCTCCTTTCTTTTTGAAAACCATGACATATAATAATTATATATTATTTTTGGCCCTCAACATAAGAACTAATTTGACATTTAATTTGATCCTAAATATAAGATTCTAATTCACTTTGTCTCTCATATTTATCAATTTTTCTAAATTAGTTCTTGTAGTAGTTGTACATGTTAAATGGTATATCAAATGATACTTTTAGCTAATACACATTATTAGTAAGGATATTTTAAGAAAGATAACACCTATTTATTACAAATAATTAACTTAACAGATCTTTTGATCTACTCAAATTAGTCAATTAGTTTCTATATTAAGGAGTATAGGGCCCAGTTTGATTCTCTCCCATGTGCAGTCCAACCCAAGAGTAAATTCGGTTTGGTTTGATTCTTTGTGCAGTCCATGCGAACAGAGATGCAACCAAATGAAAAGGGTAGGTTTCAAAGAGATGATCGACGGTTTCCTAATCACCCAAAAAGTCACTTACCACGGACATTTAGATGATGGTGGGAACATATATAGCAGGAATCGCATAGTTGAGTAATTTTCAGATGAAGAGTATCATTTTTGAAGGGAGGGAAATGAACCAGGGGAATTGCCAGGAACTTTGCAGTTGTCCTGATATAGTTGTTAGTAATTTAAATCCATATTTTGCTGACTGGGTTCCAGATAATCTTACCTGATCTACCTGTGAACAAAATTGGGGTGCACAGGATTCGGTTGGCATTTTCAGATGAATAAGTAGAATAGATGAGGTCTTGGTTCCAATTGATAAGGATCCAAGCGAACAGGGTATGAGTAAGAGGTCTTCCATTATTTTCAATGAATTGATATTAGTGACACTGACTTGCATTGGCCACCAAAGCGGGTGGCTCTGAAGGATTCCTTTTCACAGCCAGGAGGAATTGTAGGGAGATTTCCAAAGAGTTTTATCCAAGAGATCAGTATATTTCCTTTGAAGTGTCTGTCCTAGGATAAAGATAGGAGAGGTTTACAGGATCCTCCAAATTTGTTTTGCTAGTAGGTTTTTGTGGGTAATAGGTAACAGGAAAAAAAATCCATCTGATAATCAGATCAATTGGTTTGATTCTCTCCCATGTGCATTTTTCACATCAAACCGATAATTTTTATTTTCCACATTGGTCAGGGTGCATTTTGTTAGATTGGACCAGGTTGTATGAGACTATTCATAACCCTAATTTTAATTATGAGAAATTCATTAATCTAACTTATAGATTAGTTGTTTCGTTATCGCATGTGATGTGCTTCTTCAATGGCTTGTTGGTAAATTTTGTTAAAATTTGAAATAATGCTGGCAGGTTATCTTTTAACTAGAACTGGTAATATGAGTTGAGCTCGACAAACCCCAAAAGTGGTGGGTTAGATTGAGGAAAATAAGGACCATTTAGATGCAGTCTTTTTTAGCCCCACCCGCTAACTAGCAACGGACTAGCCCACTTTTTTCTTTTTAAAATTTTTTTATTTTTATTTTCATTTTATAAGAAATTTTTTTCATCATTTTCACCCAATTTACATATAAATATGTATTTTGTTGATTTTAAATTTAATTTCTCATTTTTTTTATTTTTTACTATTTTTATACTAATAAAATAACTATTATATGTTTATATGTCAAGTTTTGATATTAATTTAATTATATAATTATATAAATATATAAAAATAAGAAGAATTTAGTCTATAAAAGTTTGTAATTTAATTTCAAAATTTAAAAATATGTGTAAAAATATAAATTTTTTATTTAAAAAAAAAGAAATCAACAGGTCAACCTACCAATCAATTCTTTGACGATAGGCTGGCTAAATGTGAGCCTGCCAGGAGGTGGCCCTTTTAGGACCACCTTGTATGGGTTCTAACTCATGACAAGCCAACCCCTTTACCTTTACTTCTAACCTAATAGCATTAAATACCTTTCTTAGATTTTAATTTTCAAAGTATGAGATTGCGAATTTAAGCTTCGTACACGAGTACTTTGTGTGCGTGGTTTCTCACAACATAATAATAATAAAATTAATATATTTCTTGGTTTTTTAGGTTTGCTCTCATTTTGATTTTAATTCATTAAGTTTTAAATTAAATGTTTTCATTCATGAAGTTTCTTTTTATTTAAAACATCAATTCTTATAATTTAATAAAAACCTTGACCATTTTGTCCATTAAGAAACTAAAACCTATGGTTTGAAACTTGAAGGACTAAAATTAAAATCCATGTCAATTTATGGGACCAAAAATTATATTAATTTTAATAAAAAATGGCATTTGAAATATAAAACAACCATGATTAATTCCTAGTTTTATTTTTTCCTTTCTTGCCTTAAAAAGAGAAGATTTTCCCTCTCCCAACTTAACGTTCAACCCAACTCTTCACGTGGCTCTAGCCCTTTTTACCAACTGGGTTTCTTGGCTTGGTTTGTACTTATCAGGTAACGTAGTTGCACTGCCCTCTCATAGGCCTGCCGCCAAGCAAGCAACATTCCTGTTTTTGCAATCATTTTCTATTGCATGAGAATCAAAATATGCAATATTAATTACATTTTTTAATATTTTTTATTAAGTTTTATCTAAGAATATAAATGGCATTTCATATATAGAGACTTAAATCATTGCTTGATTTTCACAATACTTTGTACAGTTGAAGTGAATAATTTGGGACAACACCAAGGCTTAGAAGTTATTCTCATCATCATGGGACAAATTTGTCCATATTTGTTTTTGGGACCAACTTTCTTTGCTGCCAGAAAACAAGAACACTGTAGTTTTTGGTCAAAATTTATAAGTTATTTTTAATATATTATACAAATTAAGAAAAAATTAGACTTTATTAATTTTTCTTTAAAATTTAAAAACCTTTTAACTTTATCTTTATTTAATGTGTTACAACACAATAATAAATAAAAAGTAAAATTATAAATTTATAAAAAGATTCTAACAGTAAAACTTATAATAGGATAACAAAAATTGTCCAAATTAAATTTCAATGATCTTAATTTTATTTATTATTATAAATTTTAAATTTTATAATTAAGAAACTATTTTTTCTGTTGGCAAAAAAAAAACTATTTTTTCCATTCAATTTTTCTTTTATTCTAACATTTAAAAAACCAAACATTTTCGTTTTAAGAAAACAAACATTTTTCTTTCCGCGTTCATGCTATGAGGCCTTTTCTGGGATGTCGATTGCTTCTTCTCGTCCGGCTTGCATGATCTTCCTTCATCGCCACCGTCGACGACACTAACACCATGCCTACCCCCTCCTCCACCACACGTATCTCTTCGGATCTCATCCTCAACCGCCTTACCTCCACTGATCCCGAAATCAAGCTCAAAGCCATCAGAGAGGTCAAGAACCGCATCATCGGGAACCCAACTAAGAAGCTTTCCTACATCAAGCTCGGTGCAGTCCCTGTTATTGCTGATGTCCTCGCCGAAGCCGACGCCGATTCCGCTTGTGGCTCCAACCTTATTGTGCAATCCGCCGCGGCACTCGGCAGCTTTGCCTGTGGCGTTGAGGCTGGCGTCCGTGCTGTTCTCGATGCCGGCGCGTTCCCTCATTTGATCAGGCTTCTCTCTACCGTCGACGAGAAGGTTCTTTCGATTAGTTCGAACGGGTTTTTATTTTTGATTTTTTTTTTCTGATTGGTTTGCGAGGAATTGGTGCTGTGGATGAAACTACTACGATGCTTACAATTGGCAGGCTGATCCCTAGGTTGTGCTTAATGCTGGTTCTTGTTCTATTAGTTCAAATATTGTGTTGATATACTTCTTTTCTTTTGGTGAATTTAAGTTTCTTGACGTGGAGAGTTCATCAACTTCGTCTATTGCACATTTGTTTGATGGACGTTTACAGTCTAATGCAGTCTGGGGACACGACTTATTATCCATAGACCTCTCATTCTTCTCTCATCTAATTGCCTTACCTACTTGTAACTTGTGCTCATTAAATTTCGGTTCTAGATTCGGATAGAGGGATATCAACGGAGGTGTAAGGGAACTATTATGAAGTTTATCTTGTTTATAGTTACACTGTCTAACTCTGTTATTTCAGTAGTATAAATAAGTGAGGGCAGGAGGGCTGAATCAGTCCCCTATGTTTTGTCTCATGTAAATAATTTAATTTATACGACATTTGGATTCTGATTATGTTTCATGGCTCTTTTGGCCTTTTCTTCTAGCATGGATCTATAGTAGGTACAATGCGAGAACAAGATAAATAGATCCTTATCTCCAGCGTGATATTATGTTCTAATATGAGTCCGTTTCTATCCTTTCCCCCTTCTTCGTTCAATGCCATATTCATTCTAAATCCCTTCTAATTTGTCTTTCTTCCCGTCATTTCAGATTGTAGATGCCACTGCGCGTTCTTTACGAATGATCTATCAATCAAAACTATCTCCAAAGTATGATTTTTACCAGGAGGAAAACATGCAACTTCTTCTTTCCATTTTGGATACTGAGAATGAGAATCTGTCAGGACTTGGTGCAAGTATTATCATTCATTCTTGTGAGAACATTGCAGAGCAAAATATATTATGCCATGCTGGTGCATTAGAGAAACTTACTAGCCTCCTTGATGGTTCTCTAATTCAGCGAGAAGCCAGTCTAGAGGCTCTAGCTGCAATTCTTAAAAATAATTCAGAAGCCGTCTCAAAGTTTTTGGACCTTCAAAATGGAAGAGCTTTAAGTTCTGTAGTAGAATTAGTTAAGGACAGATATTCTCGGACAAGATTTCTAGCTTGCTTGTGCTTGATTTCTGTGAACATTTCTTTTTCTTGCTATCAGCAAGACAAGAGAATTAAAATCAAATTGATACATACTTTGCTTGAGCTTCTTGATGATCATGGTCAAGTTGGAGATGAAGCTTCTTTTGCTTTCTCAAGTTTAATTGCTGGGAAGGAAGATTTACAGAAGCTGGCATTCGAGGCAACTGCCATAGATAAGTTCCACAATAGCTTGCAATATCATCTGTTACAACCGAGACGCCTTGAAGGGATATTTCTGGCTCTGGCTGATCTTTGCTCAAAATTGGAATGCTGCAGGTCTAAGTTTCTTTCATTGCAGGTCTGTTTCTGTATGGAGATTGTTTATGGTGCACCTTGAACTGTCATAGATATCAGTATTTTGCACCCTCCAAAACCTGATTGTTGAAATGGTTTTGAGATAATGACTAATGAATTTAATCATCTATTGCTTGGTTAATGATAACCATTTTGTACATCCATTACTATGAGCATTTTTGGAACCAATATTGAAATATGTTTCTTCTTGAAAAAATAAGCTAGAGCCAGCATATACATATACATTTTTATATGTATATATGTTTGCATATTTGTTTTCTTATCTCATTGTGGCATGTTGTTGTGATAACTTGGTTGTATTGAAATACTAAGTCCTCTTTCAATTCGTAACATACTCATGTCATTACAGGTCTTGAATTTTGTAATCGATGCTCTAACTCATGATAATGCAAATGTACGTGCTGCAGCTTGTGTTTGCTTGAGAAGCGTCACTCGCTCAATCAAGGTCTGCAACGTAAAACAACAGATGGCATTTGAATTTTTTGGGGGGGTTTTTGTACAGTGTGAATCTAATACTCATTTCTCACAAAATTTGATTCAGAATTTGACCGCAGGCCACTTTATGAATGAAAGGGTGATCATTCCTTTGGTACAGCTTCTATCTGATCTTTCAATCTCTGTTCAGGTACGCCCTTATTCTGTGGTTGACATTTTTTAACTTGCAGTTACATTAAAATGAGTAGTTCATAGGTTTCATTCATCATAGTTGTTGAAAGCAATCTACCAAATTCACGAAAAGGAGAAATCTAAGTGTTAGAATCCAGAGATGAAGACCGCAAGTTAATTTAATACATAACTGTTGAGAATTGCACCAGTTATTCAAGGATATGTTTCTCAAAGTTAAGGGAGGTGTTTAAGGATCATGTCATGATTATATTTTGATAGCTATCTCACGTTTATTTTAAGAGTGCTTAAACATAATTTGTGAGACTTACCATTGGACAATTTAAAATGTCTCAACAATACTGAATTTTATCCAATTTTTTCTGTTATTTTGTTGTGTATTGTTCTGATGATAATTCTCATTCTATTTTCTTGTCTGGTCCTAATACTGAGTTTGGGGGATGCTCTAAGTAATGCAGACAACGCATGTGCAAATTGAGTCATTTGTTATCATGTTGGCTTCATCATTCAACGGATGGTTTGAATGTTGCAACAGATAGCTTTTCAAAATTTGTTAACAATAGAGTAGATCAATCAGGACTCCCATAGTTTCTATATCATTTCTGATAACATCTGTAGTTTTAGTGTTTGTATGATATATTTCTTAAGATTTTTTTATCATTATTCATTACACGCAATTTGGTGCTTTTCTGGTCCACCAAAACCAATTCATGCTTCTATTGATTCATCTTTTCAACCGCTTTTGATTAAAGTGAAAGGTTAAAATTTGAAGCTTGTTGACTTAGCAAAGGTATAATAGAACTGAAAATGACATTATTGAGTGGTCAAGCTGAATTGATTGTCCCAGTGAAATTCAACATTCAAAAGGAGGCTTCTGTCTGAGGCTAATTATTTTTGTATTTAAGATTTAATATCTTATGAAGTCAAATACATGGGGAAAAAAATGATATGTTACTCCTACAAGAACTAGCTTATTATTAAAAAAAAAAAAAAAAAGCACTTTGGTTAGGGTTACGGTGCAAATTTGCCCTTGAAGTTTTTGCTTGGAAGTTTTTCAAGTACAAATTTGCTACAAAAGTGTAAAATTGTAGTACCGTTACCCTTACTGTTAAAAATGTTAATTGTCAATGTTGCTATTTTATCAGTCAATATTAGTTTTTTAACAGTATGGGTTTACTTTGTTACAATTTCAAGCTTTCGGGACAAATTTGCACCCAAAAAGACTTTTGGACGCCCTGTGCTTCCAAGTAAAAACTTCTGGAGCAAATTTGCACATTAGCCTTTTTTATTATTATATCTTATAATATGAGTTTTCGAGAAAAGCCATGCATGTTATTCTATTGTTAGTGATCACTCGAGTTTGTATAAGAATAATGCTTATTAACCCTAAATACAAGATGTTGCATCTCTAATCTCATCAAAATTTAGAAATGCTTATCATTTTCCCCCCGTGCTATTTCCAGGTTGCAGCCCTTGGTGCTATCAGCAACATAGTGGTTGGCTTTACACCTCGTAAGTCAATATTCATGCAGTGTGGAGGCATTAAAGAACTTGTTCAATTGACCAAGTCAGTGGATTTGTCTTTAAGGTTAAATGCTATATGGGCCTTGAGGAATATGGTATTCCTTGCCGATAGAATGTGTAAGCAAGAAATTTTTATGGAGCTGACAGCATCTTCAGTAGCTGGTCTTATCTGTGGTAATGATCTTGACATTTTAGATTTTTCCTGGTCAAGGCAAACCAACTAGAAAAGGAATAAAATTGTCCTTGTGTCTACCCTGCAGATCCTGAGCCTTCTGTTCAAGAAAAAGCCCTTGCCCTTGTTCGTAATTTTGTTGATGGCTGTATAGATTCTATTGAATATGCTTTTGCTGAAGATGGTATCATATTAGATGCTGTTGGAAGGCAGCTAAGAAAAGCTTCAAACCTTGAGATTGGGATGCAGGTAGGATATAAGTTTTAATAGTAACAGTTATCATGTAGATTGATAAGGCATATTTTCACGTTCTAGCAGCCACTAGTATCTCAATTCCTTAATTTGTCATTCCTGATGTGGTAGAACCCGAATGGCTAGATAATTAAGTGAATAAAAATAAAAGCTGAAAAAGCTGAAATATAATCTAGTAGAGGGTTGAGGCAAGAATCTCACTCTCAACTCACTAATAGCCAGGATAAAATCCACTAAAATTTACTTAAGCAAGGATCTCACTTAACTAAATTTAGTAGCCAGAAGGAGAATCTCCAAATTACTGAATAAATATTTCTTTCTCTCATATGTTAGCCTATAGGATGGCTAACATATTTATAATGCAGAAGCTACAATTGAATAAATATAAAAATTAAGTAAATATCCCTAATATCTTGGAACTAACAGAAAGAGACGTTGGTGGACCTCTAACAACCTAAAGTCCCCCTATTCAACTGATAAATCATTAATAAAATTAATAAAACTTAAAAGACTCATTCAACTCTCCTAAAAAGATGCAAACAGACTCAACCACTACTCCAGTCTCCCTATTTCTTCTCTAGTGCGTTAATGTGCTCACTTGGAGTCCTATCATGATGTATGTTGAATGTGCCATTCCGAAGTGTTAATAATTGGCATGATAACTTGCTGGAATTGCGATTAACTTGCATCTTTTGTGCCTTGTAACACATCAACATTTAGAGCGTTAGTGAAATTGGTATAAGAGAACTACCCTACTTAGGTGCTGTAGATTCAACTAGGTGAATTTGAATACTAAAACACTAGCATTATGGTGCTTTTCTTTCGTATTAAATTAATGACTCTGAATTTAAGCTCCACATGAATCTGAAATGTTTAGCATTGTCTTATTTTCCGTGAAAAAACAGTTCTATATAGGACAGGTATCTTTTGAAGCCAAACCAAACTATTAACCAGCAATGAACTGACATGGTGCTAAAAACTGATTTTGATCTTTTGTTTCACTTTTGTTTGGTTTTTTATGGGGTTGTTATGGTTTAAATTAGTTCAACCAGTTTACTTGGGTTTCGTTTGGTTTTTGGGCTGATTATTCGGTTTATTTTCCATTCTAGGGGATGTATGTACTCAGCAATATTGCGAGTGGGAATGAGTTTCAAAAGGAAGCTGTGATGCATCAACTCTTTCCACAACCAGAGAACGAATGCCACTCTTTCTTTAACCGGTTTTTGCAGAGTACTGACAACCACCTACGCACAGCTGCACTTTGGGTTGTAGTGAATCTCAGCTTCCCATCAAGTCCAGGTGCATTTGATCGGATTATGAAACTGCGTAAATTTGGCATAATTTCTCAACTGAAAACGATGATCAATGATTCTTGCTTGGATGTGAAGGTATTTTTTTCTTCAATTTATTTATTCCAAGATGGTTTTGTTAATTGTTGTAGGCTTGTTTTTCAGTGGTCTCATAAATGCTCGGTTGTCACAGCTTCGAGCAAGACATGCTCTCGGGCATACTAGGACTTTCGGTGATAACTAAATAAAATCAAACCCCCTGCGTTCCAAGCCCCTGTGCTGCATGCAAACAACAGAAATATTGCTCAAATGTGTTTTCTCTTGTATTTACACCTTGTATATGCGGTATGTAACTTGTGTTTCAGCTTTTAAGATGTTCTTCAACAAGTCCTTACTGTCATAGGAGTTCCCTTTTGTGTATTCTACTTCTATGAGGATCACAAGCGAACCATTTTTTTTTTTTTGGGGAAGAAGCTAAAATTTCTCATAGTTACTTGATTCTTTCTGGCAGTTTAATCATCAGTCAAATGTGATGTCAAACCTGCCATGAAGTTTTCTGTAGTTCAAGCGTTTAATTTTGCAGTCCTTGCCAAACAAATTTTAAGATATGAGCTGATGATTCTACATCAAGTCTCTCAGCTTTTGGTGTTTTTATATTATAAATACATATTTTAATTAAAAATTATACCCCACTCCCATTTACCTACCAATCAGGTTTCAAAACCCCACCTTCACCCCACTTCCACTTCTATAACAAAAACTCTTATATGCTGCCAAACTGGGGGCATTAGTCTCATATCAGCATTCTCTCCATTCTCCTTTGTTTGCCAGGATAGTTCCCGGCACTGGATATCATTTTCCATGGAAGTTATATACTATTGCTTATGTAATGTGTCCAGTTGTTGAGTGCCTTTTTATGTTCCTCTTTGCAGGTGCTGCAAATGGCTTCAATTGTTTTTGAGCCAGTCAGAGCAGTGAGAAAGCTTTTCAATTTTGGAAGCACTCCTGACCAGGTTACGCCAATACCACTTGTTAGAGTGTTAGGAGGTACTGGGCCAAGAGGCTGTGATATGTATATATATGGTATTCATACATTCTGTACACTCAGTCTTTTCCAAAACTTTAATCGTTAAATAATTCTGTTCTTTTCAATCAACAGACAAACTCCTATTGAAACAGATAGAAATAAGAAAAATAAAATTAGAAGTAAATCTAAACCATTTATTTCAGCTTGATCGGTGAAGATTTAATATTAATATGCTCTCCCTTCATCTCATATGAATCCATTCTTTTGGCTAATGAATTTGATTATATATATGTGAAATGTTGAATTTTTTTTTTTTAAATTTTTGGTATTTAACAACAATGAAAATTTAACTATGACTTTATATTTTTATGACAAAAATGATCAAAATATAACTATTTTAAACTTTTTGAATTAATATCTAAATTTTTAATATGTGATTAAAATTATATAAATAAACATTTGTATATTAAAATTTTATTACGGTATCTGATAATCAATGTTTGCAAACTCGGACCGGACTGGCCGGTTCAGGCCGGAAACCGGCCAACCGGCCGCTTGTCCGGTCCGGTTCTCATCTAGACCGGAAAAATTTTAAACCGGTGTGAACCGTTCTGACTCGGCATGAACCGGGCGTAAATCGGAAAACCCGCTGGTTTGGACGGCTTAGCCCGGTGACTTGAAAAATAAACCAGATAGAGAATATGGAGCGAAGAAGAAGAAACACAGAAATAAAAAAATGACCTCTGCCTGCCTCCCGCTCTGCAAGTTTACCTTTTTTCCGTTGCAACTACAAGTCAGTTGACCTTGATCTATTTCCTTTCCTTTGAGTTTATCTAAAACGAAGGCGAGGAAGTGTGTACCGTGGAGGCATGAAAACGAAGAAAGGAAGAGGAGCATCTGAAACGAAAAAAGACGAGAGAGGAAACAAATGGAGAAAGAGGAAAGAGAGAAAGGGGAAGGAGAAAAGAAAATAATTGCAAAACGAAAAGCTTGGTGAGTATGGTGAGTATTCAAATTTCATAGAGTGAGTGATGTGATTTGATTAATGATTCAGACTTCGAAAAACGTGAGATGCTTTGGAAATAATAATAACGGAGAGAGCAAATAAAATTTGAAATAAATTAAATTAATATTAAAAATATATTAATTGCTAACAATGCGGTTTATATTTCCCAGGTAAAGATATATGAGGCATCAACATAAAACATGAAACCACAATTTAAATTGGGAACGGATTTAGTGGAGTATTATTTATTATATATAATTAATGTATTATATATATTATTAATGGCACACAAATATTATATATATTATTATAATTACAAAATAAGTCACATATTATTAATTTTATGTGTAAATATTATGTTTATTATTATTTGACATTTGTTTTTATACCTTCACTCTATTTTTATTTAAAATAACCAATATAAATTTGAGAATATGTTATTTTAATTAATACCGGTCTGACTCCGGGTTGACCCCGGTTTAACCCACTAACCCTTGACCCACTGTCTCGACCGGTTTAGTAACCGGTCCGGTTTTCAGTACCTTGCTGATAATAGATATATTTCAAATTAAAGAGTCATCCTTTTGTCCAAAATGTTGACCTCCCCTTTAAAAGTAATTAACGTCCATATTTATGAATCTCTGCTATTTCCTTAACTGGTTTAACTAATTTCCCCCATCTTTTATCCCCTGGCTGAATTCAATTTAATTTCGTGGTATCGGGGAAGTTCATTAATTGCCAAAATTAAAGGAATGGAGATTACCTAATTTCTTCGTCATGAAGGAACATTAGCTACTTAAATTGATGGAATGGAATACGCTTAGTAATTGAACAAAATGGCCTGGCTCCCGCAAAGGTGAAGATGGTGGGAAATCAATTATTATTTGGTTAAGAGTTTCATTTTTGTGTCTGAAATTAAAGGGGGAAATCAATTTGTTGAAGCTCCCAAAAGCGTCTTAAAATATTTCATTTAGGTGAAAAAAAATATTCTTTTGAATTTCTTAACGATTTTAATATTTTTCTATTGATGAAAAGAGGAAAATGCTATTTAAGAATTTAAAAATATATGATATTTTTTTAATAAAAAATTTAAAAAAATAACGTTTTACATTTGTCCTTTTTGTTAGTATGAAAAATATTTTTCTTGGAAAATAAGCATGACCTCTAGCTTTGCTCTTTGATTATTCGACCTTGAGATCGTTTTGTGAGATTTTTAGGACTAAAATATATATCTGATCCTTTAATTTTATATAAGGTTTCAGTTTGGTCGTTTAACTTTAAAAAGTATATTTTTAGTACTTTAATTTTAAAATTGTTACTTGATGATTTTTTGTAAAAAGCATAGTTGCTTTGAAAACTAAATTTAATATTATAGCATTTAGTAATGTTTTATCAATATTCAAAAGCTCAATATCATTGTTTTTTTCTTAATGGTTATAGGATTGGTGGACTCAAAGCTTACTTTTAAAGTTATAGGACCAAAATAAAATTTTACATAAAGTTAAAAGATCAAAAGTATACTTTAGTTTTTTTTGGTGGTTTTTTTCCCGAAAGAGTGCAAAAGCAAGGGTACTTTTTTACCCAGTGTAAAAGTAATATTGCTCCGGTCCTTTTGTTTTAAATATAAAACTCATTTTTATATTTATCAATTTTCTCTAAATTAACCTTATGGACACTCACTCAACCATAATCAAATAGAAGAAGGAGAGGGGATATTAAGAAAGATAATTATGGTGTTTTATGAAAATGTGTCATATTTCTTATAATTAACTAATTAACCTAACTTTCTTAATCTAATCAAATTAGTTAAATGAGTCTTATATTAAGGATCGGAGACGCATAATAGTTTGATTATATTTTCTTCTTATTCTTGATATAATTTTTATCTTATGAAATATAGAGATAGTGTCAATAATTTTCTTTCACACGACACCAAAATAATACATTTTTTCATTAAATCATTGAAATTTGAGCAATATTAATATAAATAATTAAGGATAATATAACTTATTATAAATACCTCTAAAAAAACTTGTTACAAATAAAATAGTTTTATTTTGGATTATAAAGAAATATTTTGTTTTCAAGATTTATTTTTCTTTTCATTTTAAACTTTTAATCCCATTTTCCCCACCGAAGCCCACATCCGAAAAATTGATTTTTATATCATAATGGTGAAACTGTAATTTTGTTACGATAATGGGGCCATCAGTCATTTCAAACTCAGCGTAATTGCAATTACTGTGCTCTGGGGTTCAGCCAGGAAGAAAATCGTATCTGCCAATATTTGTTGTCTTGCGAGGTTCGATTAAACGAAGCGAAGAAAGGCGACGCACAATCATCAGCGTTCGGAGGAAACTCGGAAATTGGAACTTGTAACCTTCATATTCGGCCATCTTCACAGGTACTAGCTGTGCGATACAAATCAGTGAAGAAAAAGATCGAGAGGGTCATTGACATAATCCTTTAAAAATGTATTACAGAGGGTAAGAGGCTTGGTTCCTGTTTTCCCCATTTTTTTGTTTGAAATTTTCAAGTAAAGTTTGTGGTTTTTTATTTCCGCTTCCTCTTCGGTGCAAATCATGGGTTGTTTTTAATGGCTAAAGCAATTGATTGTAGTTCTATGGCGAATTCTCTTAGCCAACCTTGTTTCATCACTTGGAAACTTTTCCTGTGTTGAAAATAAGGATTTGTTTTGTCTCTTAAGCTATGTAATCTCATCTCCTCACCCTCTGGGTCTCTTTATTGAACTCTTTTTTGGGGTAAAATTTAGGATTGGTTACTGGTATTTTTCGAAATTGCCTCTACTAAGAAACTCAACCTTGCGTGAGCGTGAGCGTGAGCGAGAGCGAGAGCAATACCATCACATTTTTAAAAAAATGTAAAAATCTTCACAGCATATTTCCTTGAAGGCTGGATTGGGAATGATTGGTTGCGGATGGTTTGAACAATTCAACCATTGATTGGATGTCAAAAAGCTAATGGAGTGAGGTGCGTTAGGATGGTTTGGATTTTGGAATTTATCCTAAACCATCCTACATTCCAACTTTCTATGTCATCCAAATTTTGGGGGTTTTACGATTTGGCAGAGGTTTTTAATAAGTTTTCGTTTAGGCGAGGACGTTAGGTGTGAGTACGTGAAGAAGTTTCACATTGAATATAATTTGGCTTAATAAGGCATATAAATAAATGTAAAAGGACCCATAAACTTGAGTATTGGGTTTTTAAGTCTAGATTTGTCCTCACTCTACCCACCACTCACCGTGCGTATGTTCTCTCCTACCATTTTGGACGTCGCTCCCCATTCCATTTCGTCTTGGCAGTCCTTACAGCTTCCTTTCCTAACCTTCTCTCCTTGTCTATGTTTTTTAAAAGGTTGAATTCAGGATGATAATATTGGAAGTTTTGTGTTTTCAAACCCCCTCTACTCCATTAGTGACATTTTTCCATCTAATCAGTTGGGAAGTTGGGGGAAAACAAGTTTAGGCATGATATTAGCTTGAGATGACATTAGTTACTCTGTTAAATGAATGCTGCGAGGAATACAACCTATGTTATCATATAATTCAGTTTAACTTGTAAACTGGGAAGAAACTTCTTTGTCATAAAATGTGTTATTGAATGTAACCTAAAAGTAGAAGAGGTAATTAAAGGCATGTTAATAGTTGCCCGCAGCTGACGTAGTTCTATAATCCTAAACCTCAAGTATATAGATCATGCCTAATATTGAGCAATATTCCCTCCTAATAATGTCTACTTATTGTATGAACGACGTGTTCCTTGAGTTGCCCTTGCTGGTTTGACATATCACAGAAGCCTAGATATCTTGGTGGTGCCATTGAGTAGGATTTGACGATATTTTGTGGATGCCTAAGGAAAATTTTTGATTTGAAGGTTTAGAAAAGGGTAGGCTATTATAATTTGGTGTCTTGGGATTAGAAAAGAAGTAGTAAATTGGGTTAGTTAGAGGCTTCAACTAATCAAGAGGTTGTCTTTTAAGCTAATTATTTTGTCATACTCCACCTTTTGTTTATTGAATCTGGTAATGAACTTTTTATAAGAAATAGTCAGTTTTGGTGGGAACATTCCGTACTTAGTTCCTTTCATTGTTTTTGTTCCTCGCAGTATGAATGTATTCTTGCTAACCTATAATATAAATAAGATGATGATAGTATCTGATGAGCTAGAATAATTAATGAGGGAGAAAGTATCTTATTACTATCTTTGGTCCTTAATATAAAATCTAGGTTGTAGTTCAAATTGAACTACAAGCTCGATCTTATATTCAAATTGAACTGCAAAGTTAGTATTTCATTTCTTGCCTCTTGCCTCTTGCCTCCAAATTTAATGAGGGGGATTCAAGCTTTCCTATTGCTAATTTTTTTCAGTTTTACTCATTGAGTCGTGTAAACAGAAAACATGCTCCTAGGAATTCTGGAATACCTAGGTGAAGTCTAAAGGACGCTCAAGGTATGTCCTTGACATTACAAGGGTCATGTCAAACATTTTAGCTTTGTCAAGAAGCTGGTTGCTTCTACTTGTGAGCTTTTGTCAAGAAGCTGATTAGAGCCCACACTGAAAGAGTGAACCATTTTCGTAACAGAGTGAATTGAGGACAGTTGCTATTTTTCTTTTTCTTTCCTCTGTAAATATGTTTTAGCACATTTCTTATTTAATATATTTCCCTTTTAGTCAAAAAAAAAAAAAAGTTGGCTATTAATTTTGGGAGAGCCAGAGCGCAGTAGAGGTACTTATATGGATTGTCATGGAACAACAATTGAAGAAACAAATACCCATTGGAAGATTGTACTTGTTTTCCTATCATTTAAACATGATTAAAATGTGCAAAAAAAGATTGAAAGAATAAAAAAGAGTTGCACGAGGTTCAAGAGGTTTTATATTTTATATTGATATTGATTGGATGCAATCAATATGTGATTTATTGGAAGGTTTCATGCTATTTTGGCGCTTGTCATACCATTGGAAGAAAGGGTTGCTTTACTGGTTTCTTGTTGACTAGAGTCTCTTCTACAAATTGAGAGTAATGCATGTTGTGAGATGGCACTTTTGTAATGAGGTTGTTAGGCTTTAGAAAGTGTTTTCGATCAGACATTAGTGTAATGGGTCCAAAGGTCTTTTAGGGTGTTATAACAGTATTTCAACAAGACTAACGGGAATATTTGTTATGAGCGAGTTGCTGTCAGGATAATATTTTCCTTATCAAGTTTGGCATAATATTGACTGAATCAATTTTTAGTTTCTTCCCACCAAGTTACTAAATAACACAGGTGGTAGATATTAGGCCAAACTTGATGGGGAAAATTAATAGTATTGAAGTCTCAATGTTTAACTTGATTGATAAATCTTGACCAACACTCTCTCTTTTCTTAATTATTATGGTTGTCAAAGTGAGATCTATATACATATCTACCTGTAAAGGAATTGCTATTTGAATTTCAAATTAATAACTACCCTTGTCAGATAATTAAGCACAATTTTATCCTTTTGTGAATGCAAGTTTTTCATTACTTTTCCTCATTGATTTCCCCTTTATATTAGTCTTCATATGTAGGCCTTTATAGTCTTTATAGAAACTGTACACTATGGACCTACCTAGAATGGTGGAAGGGCAGAGGGTAAAATAAGAAAAGGTCGGGATGATGACAACCTAGCAAGGATTACTGGAAGATCTCTGTTGTCGCCAAGAAACAAAATTCCCCTGAAAGATAATACAGCTGTATTATCTTAAGCAAGTTTCTGCTGGGGAACATCAAATGTGTTGTGAAATAGCTAGCTTTTGAAGGATTCAAAGAGCTCAATTCCGTTCCTTTGATTTCCTTTTCTTTTTCTTGTCAGTCCCATTGATTTATTAATAAATTTCTTTCTTTCTGTTCTGGCTGTTGGCGAATGATGCAGTAAATTTGCTGATGGTGGTGATGGACGTGAAATGGCTGCAAAACGTCAACGAATTGTTGACCCAGGATCATCGTTCTATGGGACTTCTCCTGGTTCCAGTTTCATGTACAATCCACCTCCATATGGTTATGTCAACCAACCTCCTTTTCCTGTTGTTCGTCTGCGTGGCCTCCCCTTCGACTGCACCGAAGCTGATGTTGCTGAGTTCTTCCATGGTCTAGATATAGTTGATGTCCTCTTTGTTCACAAAGGTGGCAAGTTCACTGGGGAGGGCTTCTGTGTTCTTGCATACCCTTTCCAAGTTGACTTTGCTCTTCAGAGAAACCGGCAGAACATGGGGAGAAGATACGTGGAGGTTTTCAGAAGCAAGAGGCAGGAATACTACAAGGCAATCGCAAATGAGGTTTCGGATGCTCGTGGTGGTATTGGCGGTGGTGGTGGTTCACCACGTCGAAGTGCTTCTAGGGCTAAATCCTACGATGAAGGAAAAGATTCAGCTGAGCATACTGGCGTGTTGCGGTTGAGAGGATTGCCATTTTCTGCCACCAAGGATGACATAATGGAATTCTTTAAGGATTTTGTTGTGTCAGAGGATTGTATTCACATTGTGATGAACTCAGAGGGTAGACCTTCTGGGGAAGCTTATGTGGAATTTGCGAGTGCTGAAGATTCAAAGGCAGCAATGGCGAAGGACAGAATGACACTGGGCAGTCGCTACATTGAGTTGTTTCCTTCATCACAGAGTGAGATGGATGAAGCAGTTTCAAGAGGGCGGTGATTCCTTAGCATGCCTTTCCACTCATATGCCATTCACTAGTTGTTATCTTATTATTGTTAATTAAATCTTATAATTAATCTTTAATTGAGAATTTTGCTGTAGCTTTAATTTTTACCAGTGAGGGATATGCCGTATTGTTGTATTAGAATAATATGCTTTTTATGCTCTTTGTGAAAAATGAACGTTTGCCTGCTTTGAACTCAGATTGTTTCTGGACTTCCATTTTTCCGATTTTCTCTGGGCAAATGAATTATTATTCTTTTGAGAGATGGCTTAATTACATGAATGCCAATTTACTATCGACGCCCTTCGTTTCACAAAAATGGCATCATAAAAAGTGTCCTGAAGAAAACATGCTTCATGTAGGCGGAGTAAATAATTAAATAATTCAAGTTTTGTTCTTGAAAAAAATCTAATGTTTTCTTAAAACGGGCGAAACTGTTTTAGAGGTGGTTATATTTTTTTTTCTCAATTTTTAATTTGGTACTTATGTGTTTTTTTTCCTTAATTAAATTTTAAATTTTACTTTATTAATATTATTAATCTTTGTACAAATGCTATCAATGTTAACAAAGCAAAGTAATAATAGCTAATGTTGCTAAAAGAGCAAAATTAAATGATTTAATTAATAAAAAAAACAGATAGGTATCAAATTAAAAATGAAAAGAAATTATATGTACCTCTAATTTGGTTTTTCCCTTAAAATGTTTAAATAAATATTAGTACTTAATCACTCATGAGTGCATTAATAAGGGGGAGAACCGAAAAAAGAAATTTTTTTTTTGAACTAGGAAAAAATGACACTCATTTTTTTTTTTTGCCAAAGAAAATTATACTCATTTTAAACAAACACAGAAGAGGTTTTTTGCGATAATTATTATAAAATGGAGGGATAGCTGAGAAATAAATGGTAACTAGACATATTCTCGCAAGAGTTATGTCCTGTGAAAATTTAACAAAATTACGTAAACACCCACAAAACAAAGCGCAGCCACAGGGTAATATTTCCCAATAACGGATTCCATTTCCATTGCCCGCGTTGTAGAGTGGAAGAACTCGCGGGTAAGGGAAAGGAAGGCACACTATCGACTACAGTTTGCAAGGAAGATTATGGTTGGCGCTAGGAAATCGGATACATGGCCACCGTTCTAGACTCCAATTCCTTCGGCCTCACTTCTTGTTCTTCACCTTCTCAGTATCGCTTCATTCTCTCCCCTTCGCTTTGTCATAACTTCTTTCACTATCCCTTGAAACCACCACAACGACCGCCCACTTCCCTTCTGCACTCCACAACTACAACCTTGCTTGCTCCTCTATTCAAAGATTCGAAATTTCACCATGGCCTTCACTCCTCAGCCTCACCCATCTACTTCCTTCCATCCCCACAAACTTCTATTTCTGATTCAAATCCCTCTCTTCTCCCGGAGGCTTCTAGTGATGGGAATTTTTCAGTCGTGTTGGACTCTTTCGTTGATCGGCTTTTCAAGTTGCTTCGTTTAGCGACTCGATACGGCGATGTTGAACTCGCCAGGGCTGCACATGCCTCTGTTATCAAGCTCGAGGAAGACACATCTCTGGGCAATGCCGTCATTGTGGCTTATTTGAAGCTGGGTCTCTTTTCTGATGCTTACAACGTATTTTTGGGCCTGTCTTCCCCAGATGTGGTGTCTTACACCGCGTTGATCTCAGGGTTTTCCAAGTCTAATCGAGAAGACACAGCTTTGGAGCTTTTCCTTCACATGAGAAACTCGGGTATAGAGCCCAATGAATACAGTTTTGTTGCGATTTTAACTGCTTGCATTCGGATTTTGCATTTGTCTTTGGGTCTGCAAATACATAATCTAGCAATCAAAATGGGGTTTCTGGATTCTGCTTTCGTTGCAAATGCGCTTATGGGGTTGTATAGCAAGTGTGGGTACTACGATGTCGTCCTCAAATTGTTTGGTGAAATGCGTGAGAGGGATATTGCATCTTGGAACACTGTTATATCGGGTGCTGTCAAGGAGTCAATGCACGACACGGCATTGCAGTTTTTCCGTGACATGCAGGCAACTGATGCTTTAAAAATAGATTACTTCACTCTCTCAACCCTCTTGACCGCTTGTGTTGCTAGTATTGCTGTGATGGAGGGCAAACAAGTCCATGCACATGCTACTAAGGTTGGATTGGAATCAAATGTGAGTGTCGGTAATACCCTTATTGGATTCTATACGAAGTGTGGAACTCTTGACGATGTGGTATCAGTGTTTGAGAGGATGACTGTGAGAGATGTTATTACCTGGACAGAGATGGTGAGAGCTTACATGGGGTTTGGGTTAGTTAATTCAGCTTTGAGAATATTTGATGAGATGCCAGAAAAAAATCCGGTCTCTTATAATGCTCTTTTGTCAGGATTTTGTCAAAATGGTGAAGGTCTGAAGGCTTTGCACTTGTTTCTCAAAATGGTAGAAGATGATGTAGAGTTAACAGATTTCTCTCTGACTAGTATTATTAGTGCCTGTAGCTTGCTTGCTGATTATAGAGTCAGCAAGCAGATCCATGGGTTTGTTCTTAAGTTTGGTTTTGGACCAAATGTTTGTATTGAATCAGCGTTGCTTGACATGTATACAAGATGTGGGAGGATGGAAGATGCCAAAAAGATGTTCTGTAGATGGCAGTTAAAGGAAGGAAGCTCTGTTGCTTGGACATCCATGTTGTGTGGGTATGCTCGAAATGGACAACCAGATGAAGCAATCTCTCTTATCCAGCATAGTCAATTAGAAGGGACAATGATTATGGATGAAATTGCCTTATCTTCAATGCTGGGTCTTTGTGGAGTTATTGGCAGTCATGAATTGGGGAAGCAAATTCATTGCCATGTTATTAAATTAGGTTTTAAATTTGATGTGGGAGTCGGAAATGCAGTCATCAGCATGTATTTCAAGTGTTGGAATGTGGATGATGCAATTAAGATGTTTCATAATATGCCCAAAACTGACATTGTTTCATGGAATGCTTTGATTACTGGTCACATTCTGCACAGATTAGGTGATAGAGCATTAGAAATATGGTCAAATATGCAGAGGGAAGGCATAAGGCCAGATGAAATTACATTCGTTTTAGTCATTTCAGCGTACAGGTTAACTAACGTGAATTTAGTTGATGAATGTCGTGGTTTGTTTCATTCAATGAAAACTGTTTATGGTATTGAGCCCACTTCTGAGCATTATGCCTCCTTTATTAGCGTTTTGGGTTACTGGGGACTCCTGGAAGAAGCAGAGAAAACTATCAGTAAGATGCCTTTTGAGCCTACTGCTTCTGTTTGGCGCGCTTTGCTTGATAGCTGCAGACTGCATAAGAATACAGTTATTGGAAAACGGGTTGCAAAGCAAATTATATCTCTGGAACCAAAAGATCCCTCAACCTATGTACTTGTTGCGAATCTTTATTCTGCTTCTGGGAGGTGGCACTGCTCTGAAGTGATCAGGGAGAATATGAGGGAGAATGGATTTCGCAAGCACCCAGCTCAAAGTTGGATCATTTCTCAGAGGAAGATGCATTCATTCTATGCTAGAGATAGGTCCCATCCCCAAGCTAAAGACATCTACCGTGGATTGGAGATTCTAATCTTGGAGTGCATGAAATTGGGATATGTACCTGACACTAGCTTTGTTCTTCATGAAGTAGAGGAGCATCAGAAAAAGGAATTTTTATTTCATCATAGTGCAAAACTAGCTGCAACTTATGGACTCCTGACAAGCAAGCATGGAAAGCCTCTTCGGATTGTCAAGAACATTCTACTCTGTGGGGATTGCCATGCGTTCTTGAAATATGTATCTATTGTCACTAGGAGGGATATTTTTCTGAGAGATTCTTCAGGATTTCATTATTTCTCTGATGGCCTATGTTCATGTAAAGATTATTGGTAAAATGCCGGTGGATCTATTTTTTCAGCTTCATAAATCCTGTAAGTTGTAACTATAAATGCGTATTCCTGGCCAAAAAGGTATATATTTTTATTCTTTGTTTGTTAAAAGAATCTCCCATAAAAGTTACCACAAAGCGACTATGATAGATACTCTTATGCTTTCATATATGGAAATTACAATGTGCAAATACTTTGCAAGCCTGCCTGAAAACTCATTTCAGTTGAAAGCACTGAAAACATCCGACCATCATGGTGCAGTCCAGTTTGGTTGCACATCTATTTTCTCATACTAACTTTCAGGAAAAGTTTACTTGTGAATGAGTTGTGTACAAGTTACTGTTTGTTCTGTCTTCTCTCTTGGTTCTGTTCCGTTTCTCCTGTTCAGGAGTATAATGATTTGCTGCTAGGTGCTCTTCATCCTGAAACACCTCAACTTTTGGGCATGAGGTAAGACCAGTTATCATTTGAAATGTTTTCTTTCAACTTACCTATCAGTATTTTTATATTTTAATTGCTTAAATATCAATGTTTTTTCCTTTACAAAAACTCTTGGTTTTGGTTTAGAATTGTTTCATTTTTATATTCATATCGTTGATTAAACTACAATTTTTTTTTTTTGGCCAGCAAGCTGCAAGCTGCTTTATATAGATTAATCCCACCGATTTTATTCTAGCTATACGTTGGTGACTCTGCTGCTATATAAAATTGAAACTACCTATGGCTGAATATATCAGTTTTGCAACAAATGCCAAACAAAGAGTAAAGTGGACAAAAACTATTGCTTTGTGTCTCTCTCTTTCTCTCTGTTTTGTTGATAAAAAAGATAGTAGTTGTGTCCTCCTAATATTTAAAATTTGGTGACCCATTTCTAAGCTCTAACCAATTTTTTCTTATACAGGATTGAAAAAGTGAAAATGCCAATGACATCAAATAAAATCTTCAAGTTCCACTGAATAAGTTACAGCCTTCAAACCTACAGGGGGCCGAAAACACAGGCGCACACATGATAATAATGGATTATAGATTAATTTGCCAACAGTCAGCCTATAGTTTCAATTTGTGGTTTTTTTTTTTTTGGCCATATGGCTTCTGTTCAAAATATAAAAACTTGGATATGAGCTTAATGGTGTTGGTTAACCCTGTTAAGCATATGAATAAGAACCAAAAGCTCATTAAAAGTACAAATAATAAATTCTCCAATTTTCTTAAAGGGGCAAATTGGAGAAAAGCCACTATTTAGAAAATTTTTTGGTCAAAAGTCTTGATGTATTTATCCTCAACAGGTGCAGCTTGTGTGTGATCTATCCTTAATTATGTGCAA